GCTGGACGCCTCCTGGTACCCCCCAAAGGAGCGAAACGCCCGGCAGGAGTTCAAGGAGAGGCACATCCCGGGGGCGTCGTTCTTCGACATCGAGGAGTGCCGGGACAAGTCCTCCCCCTACGACTTCATGCTGCCCAGCGAGTCCCACTTCGCCGAGTACGTGGGCGGGCTGGGGGTCAGCAATGACACCCACGTGGTGGTGTACGACGGGGACGAGGTGGGCACCTTCTACGCCCCCCGCGCCTGGTGGATGTTCCGGGCCTTTGGGCACAAGGAGGTCTCTGTGCTGAATGGTGGCTTCAAGAATTGGTTGAAGGAGGGGCACCCCGTCACGGCGGAGGTCACCCAGCCCACCCCGGCTGTCTTTAAGGCCAGGCTGAACCGGGCCCTGGTGAAGACTTTTGAGGAGATGATACAGAACGTGTCGTCCCTAAAGTTCCAGGTGGTGGATTCCCGCCCCGAGGGCCGGTTTCGGGGGACCGAGCTGGACCAAGGTAATGGAAGTGGGACTGGCACCTGCCCCAGGACGGGATGAATGTCAGTGCTAGACTGGGAGTAACAACTCCTGGTAGCCATCAAACAGATTTTCCTAAAGCACAGGCATGCCTCAGCCCGACTCATACCTTAAGGGATCCGCAGTTGCACGTTCAGATCCCAGTGCCATCGCTGAATGCTTTTGTTGCAGTTGGCTATGAAGCTGCAGGAGGAAATAGCAGAAAAGGGATGCAGTCATTTGCTTCCAGGATCTCCCATCCCGCACCCTGCAGAAGTTTATCAAAATGCAAACATGGGAGGTGAAAGCTCGCAGGGGCTTGTTCAGGGTCCTATCTAAAACCAGCAAACACATACAAACTATCAGTATTCATACAGGCAACTCTCACCATAATGAGTGCACTAGCAAAAGCCAAGGTTTTAGGTAATACAGTAACCCAAGGGACATTCTCCTTATTGCTCTGATTCCCAGCAAACAGAGAATTTGCTTGAGCTGATCTTTGTTCTTTTGCTTATGTAAGAAAAGTCTGAAGCTTTTAACAAATATATGGGGTGTCAGCCTCTCTTAGGTGCCCTAAGTTACAGGAACCAAAACTGATTTTGTTACCTCAATGAAACACTGGACACACAAGCAGCAGGGTTGGGAGAAGTCCTGTGTAGTGGGGACAGCAGGTACAGCAATGTGCCTGGAATGAAACTGAAGTTAGTTAAAGGAGGCCCTTGCTGTGTAATTTAAGCCTTGGTATATCCCAGAATAACCTCCCCTCTGAAAGAGTGTAAAGGAAACTTTCCTGACTGACCATTTAGGAGGCACTCTGGCAGTCACACTCCCACTCCCAGAGACCTTAACTGCTGGGACCAAAGCCCCTTCTCAGCAGGTGGCTCCACTGAACTGATGGGTGCCCCACTTGACTTCCTACACACCCTGCACACACGCTCAGACCAGATATTCTTACCGTCTTGAGCCTGGGTTTTCCTTAGCAGAGCCTCAAAAGTTTGGTTCCTTAAAGCAACTTATTAAAAGCACAATAACACAAGAACAGCTTGAGCTTGTGCCTCCGAGGAGGGACCTAAACAAAGGAAACACTGAACTTTTATACCCTCCCAATCTGTGTGTGACAAAGTCCTGGCTCTTCCTGCTGAGTCCTCGGCTCCTGCTGTGCCTCAGTGTCCGGTCACCTGGCTGTGCCACAGGTCCTGTGCCCTCTGTTGTGCAAAGGGTCAGTGCCAGTTCTTGGCCTCTTGCCTGGGGCTCTCACAGCCCAGAGCCCAAGCTGCATCTGACACTGCAGCTGCACTCCGAGCTACCTGCACTGAATGTGTTCCTCAAAAGGGAATAACAGAAACGGTTAGAAGAGAAAGAGTTTCTAGAAGAAAGCACAGAAAAGCTCAGCAGCAGCTGTTTGACCTGAGCAGAGCCCACACTGCTGGAATGTGCAGTGGGTTTCTATGGTCTCCAGGCCATGCTGGCCCACAGGGCTTTCCTGGCTGTTCACATATACGTGTGCTGCTGTACAGCCAGTTAGTGTGATAACATGTCCTGAAGTACATTCCTGCATCCAAACTTCAGGAGCGTTTGGTTGTAAATTACAATACTTGCAGGTGGGTGGCCCAGGTGTCTGCAAAGACAATGTGGCAGGTGGGAAAGGTAATGGAAGTGATGGAGGAGACTGTGGCAGGGGAAGGGAAAAGTTAGGCTTATCACTCATTCTATTTCTTCTCCTACCATAGCCATCAAAGTGAAGGTTGAATTTTAACCTCAAGATGTGACTAAAATGCTCCTTGCTGGGAGCTGGTGGATTTTGCATTCTTTCCCAAGGTGAGAGCTGTCACCAGATGACAAATACCACAGCCCCAACAGCATCTTCAAAACAGATTTTTCCTTTGAAATGCGTCAGCATGGAACAGCTTATTTGTGGTGGTCCAGTTTTGCTTCCCACAGCAGATCCAGCAGGATAAGCACTCCAGCTGCAGCTGCTCGTTCCACAGGAGCTTGACAGCTCTCTGAACCAAGCCAGCCATAGCAGCACATCAGCCAGCAGTGGGTAAAAGACAGTGCTTACACCTAAAAGAGCAATTTGAAATCAATGCTGATTAATTGCAGGGGTCATCCAATCAGGGAGGATGCAATTTGGAGAAGACTAATGGTCTTGGGGTTAAGGAACTTGCTGCCTTCTCAGGTGATTTCAGTTTAATTATTGCTTCAGTTCTTGACTTCCTAATTAAGTCAATTAATCTCTCCTGTTCTGTGAACTTCATCTCTAGAAGAGGCTAATTGCAGCTGACTCTTTTGCCTTTTTGGTTTTTCAGTTCTTTGTGGTAAGAATTAATTGTTCCTGTTTTATTTTTATCCTTGCTGGGATTTAGACCTCTGTACTGGTTAAGATAAGCCATAACATAGGGCTAATTTTTATTTTCTGGGAGACATTCACCAAAGTTGTCAGAGTGGAGAAAAATGGACATCTCTATAGGCCAGGTCTTAAATTCAGGTGTTGCTTTAGATGAAAAACTTGGATGTTCATGCAGAGTGTTCAGCATAAGCCTGACAGATGTGCAGCCCTGATCTGTGCACCAAGTAGTTCAAGGTGTCCCTGCACAGTGCTCTGTTCCTGGAGGAACTAGCTGTCCAGGGCTGATTATGAAAGTAATTACATGATGGTTGCCAGTGCTGACCCTCTCTGATTGTCAGGCACTGAAAACTGATGGACAAGAATTACAGTCAACCAAATGCATACAGAAAAGTTGTGAATTTCTGAATTCTTTTGCAGACATCTGAGAAAAGAGTCAAAAGTTGCCAGGCAAGAAATCTATCATCTAAAAAAGAGCAAACCCAAAACTGATGAACTCTTACAGGTATTTTTCTTCTCATTCTCAGCCCTAAAGTAGTTCTTGTCTCCCTTCTGCATATAGAACTCTTCAGATTTTGCCCATTTTCCCAGCTTTCCATCCTGCCTTCCCCAAAAACAAAGCTTTTGTTCACGTTGAATGTTCAGTGGGAATGAGAATAAAAGGTACATTTTTCTTCCCTGTCTCCTCCTAGAGGATTCTGTAGTTGGGAGTGGACTGGCTTTACTTTGCTCATAGTTGGGGTACAGCAGTGGAGGGTGAGAGAACTATCAAAGTCTGTTTCAACCCACAGAAACCTACGAGGACTTTCAGGGAGCTGGCCAGGAGCAAGCCTAAAGTGTTCCTTACAGTGTGTTCACGGTAGGTTAGACAAGATCAGTAATTGTCCTTTCTGAGACATACTATTTGAATGGAAGAGAGAGATAAACAAGGAGGCAACAGAGGAGGCATTTGGAAAAGAACTATCTGCAGCCAGCACACTCCAAAGCCACAGGGAGTTAAATATGGCAGAGCAAATCTTTTATCTTTTTGACATTAAGAAATTCCATCTGGAGCTTTCAGCACAAAGGGAAGGCTAGAGAAGAGGGGCTATGGTCTTAGATAAACAGCCAACAAAAAGAACAATATGTAAGCAGGGAATCTAACAGATGTGGAAAAGGGGATTAAGTAGTGAAGAAGATAACATATTACAGCTTATAAATTGTGAGGAAGGATTGTGAGACACCAAGATGAGTGAGACTTGGCAAAAGGAATTAAATAACAAAAACTTTTGGAACAGAGTGAACAAAAGAGAAGAAGGAGGGAAAGAATAAATAAGGTTGCTGTGCAGTTAGCAGGCATTCCAGGTGGAAGATTATTTGTGTGTGGTCTCAGCATTATACTGAGCCCTGAGTCTGTGCTGCCATGTTTTCTTCTCTCCTAAGGATAACTCTGCAGAGCAGGGAAAGGGCTAACCAAAAGATATCCTCATGCTCAGTGGGGCAGATGATCTTGATCCCAAATATGTGTCAAAAATCAGTCATGTGACATTGCAGCTTAATAAGGCAAGAATTTGATAAATTTATTTGAAGTATGTTTGTGTGGGACACAAACAATTGTAAATTTCATATTTAGAATAGGGGGTACAGCACAACCTACCTGTTGTTCTCCTAACATGGATAAACTAGGAGGCTTTCAAAAAACTCTTCAAGAAAAATTATTTATTATTATAATTATTATTATCAAGACAAAATTGAGTAAAACATGTTGGTAGACTTGCACTGTAGCCAAGAGCTTTATTTCTTTGCCAACTGAATTGGTTGGCCAGATGAGAGAAATGGGAATGTGCATGTCTGATCTTTTCTTCCAGCCATTGGAAGCACCTGCAAGGTAGAGTTGTGCCATTTGGACTTCATTGATGCTTTGGGAATAACATTAGAGGGATATTAATTAGCTCAATATGAAGAGAGGGCAAATAGCGCACATATTGTTAGATTAAAAAAATTGACTGAAAAGGAGATAAATGAGATAAGAACAGCCTGAAAGAGGTCTGAATGATCACATGGGGAGTACTATGTGAGGTGCCACCTGCAGAGGTATCAGTGACAGGAAGTATAACACTATGGAGAGCAAACCGGAATGCTTATTAACCCAAAACACTGAACTGCTTGTGTTTCTCCTACAAGCTGATGAGCCACATTTGGAAGCAATAGAAGAGGATAAGATTTGGATTAATTAGTTGGGTACAGGAACATCACGTGTGATTTGGCTTTGCAACAGCCTTGGCAATTCCTGGTAGGAGATGCCTACTTCTTTATCCAGAAGCCTGCTAGACACCTAGAGCTGTTTCTAGGGTGGCCAAGACAGAGAAAAGTGTATCTAATGGGCTCTTACTGGGTTTAGGCTAAGGATGTGAGGTTGTTGGGTTTGCAGTCAGTCTGTTGGAGCAATAGCAGATGGACAGAAAAACTATTTCAGTCATAGTGCAGTGTTAGCTCAAGGATAAATTGTGTATGGACTGATTGTGATGATCTGAACACTGGAAATTAATATTCCTCCTCACATGAGCCAGGAGGTGCTTCAGTGGGAGGTTTCATGACAGGAATCCAAACTGTTTCTCAGATGGATGCTTTTTTGAAAGGCAGTTTATTAAATGATTACTGAGGTATCTGGGGCCCAAGCTCTGTAGTCCTAGGGTTCCTTCCTGGAGTTTCTGACAGTGACTGCATCAATCTGGCCTGGAGTATTCTCTGTTTCATATGGGACAGGAGCAGATGTATCCTCTTCCCTGTTCAGATTCCAGCTGCATCCAGTCTTGCCTTCCAGTCCTGTGTTTCTCTGCTCTTGACCTAGCAGAGAGAGATTATAAAGCTTCCTCAGCCACTTGAGAGCACTTCTTAGGCAGTCCAAGGGATTGTGGTTATGCAGTTTCAGCTCTTTCTCTCAGCTGAACACCCACATATGTGAATAAATGCAGTTTCCACAGAATTCTCCATCTTTCACCCACAGAGTGCAAGCACTGGTCTCTGACTCCAACAGAGTTTTGAATCTCTGGAGCAAGAAAGTCTCCCTATACATCAAAGTCAAAACTGCTCTAAAATGAGTGTTTTTCAGATCTCCTCAGCTCCTACCTGAAGAGTTGTTTAAGGGTGGTGAGTTGTCAGTCTCCAATAAGTGAGGGGTACAGACCTATTTTAAGGTGTCTGAACAGTCTAGAGAAGCGATAATGATCATGGTGCCTGGGACACCTGGGAAGTGAATCGATTGCCCAGCAAGCTTCTTTGAGCAAGACTTCCCTTCTAGTTCATCCTCCAGGACTTCCTGATCTCAGTACATTTCCCAGTGCCCTAGGATGACTCACAGAGTTGTCTGTATTGGGGTGATCACCAGTGCTGCAGCAGAACCTTGCAGAAATCGTTCGCTGAATGGATCCTTTCCTATTTACTCCATGAGAAAGTGGTCACCTAAGCCAGGCATGCAAGCGGCTCCAGTAAGCAGCTTTGCAGTCTGAGAACTGTATACAAGGTTTTCTCAATTTTTGCTTCATTTTTTACTTCCTCTCTGTCATACAGACACTGTGTTGCTGAGTGAGTTTTGCAGTTCTCTGTACAGAAGTGATGAACTGTTGTCTTCTGGAACTGGAAAAAATGTGATAAAAGCATCAGTCCAAAATGCTGCCTCTTATTTTTTCTTTTCCTTTTTAAATGTTAGTCACTGCAGAAGTCAGCAGTTTTTCTCCCAGCTTCTCTCAGTAATGCTAAACATTTCTGATGGATGCATGAGGTGACTCCTAGACAACTGTGCTGTATTTCTAATGCACTCAGGGAGGATGAATCAAGAGACAAAGAGGGTCTATCTGGAACAGGAAGAGAACTTGTGAAGCTGACTCAGGGCAGCATTGATTGTCTTTAGGCTCTGTCCAGCAGAGCAAAAATTCCCTTCAGTTCTGTGCCAAAGCTGTTTTCCCCTTATATCTCACCATGTCATGTTACCACTCTGCATAGTGATGAAACTGCAGTGTCATTATGTGTGATGTCAGTCTCTGGGTAGGTATAGTTTAATAACTGTGTTTGACTGTAACAAAGTCAAATGATTAAACTGCCCCATCTCTTCCATCTCCCCCATCTCCCAAGATGAGTTATCCCAATGATTTGGGCTAATGGAAAGCTGCCAATGAAACAGATTACTATTACGTGATTTTTTTCAGATTTGTCTCTTTCGAAGTTCAAACCTAGCAAGGAATCATTCCCTAAAACATATTTTCAGTGTAATACATAATGGTTTTGGCTCCAATGAGGTTTGATCCAAAGCCTCTCAAAATTATTGGAAAAGCTTCCATAATAATGGAAGCCTTAAGAATCTGAATTTGAAGGGTGTTATGCCAACCTTGTCCATTGTATTTTTTTATCTGCTACTCTCTGAAGACCTTGTTTTGACATGCAGCTTTGATCTTGCCTGAAGTGGTCAGCTACACCAGCAGAAAAACAGAACCTTTTCTGATTTCATCCATGGAGTAAATAAGAAGTGATAAAAAATACAAATTCTGACTTCTCTGACCCCATTACCCCTGAGGATAGCTGCCTTAGCAGTGATGTGGATGACTTTAAGATTTCTCTATGATTTCTTATTTATCTTTATCTGAAATATGATTTTAAGGTGATGCAGGAATAAACTGTGAACAGATAAAAACTTTCACAAATTCCACATACATACCCTGCTTCTGAAAACTGTGTCACTACACACTGCTGGCATACCTGGGGGAGGTTGGAAATGCATTGCTTTATTCCTCTTATCACAGGTGCCCTTAATGCCTTTGTAAAGGTATTTTCTGTGGAGGTTGATTCTTGTTATGTCTAGGGCTTCTTCAGTTTCCTACATCTCATTGCTTTCAGTGAGGAAATGGTTTGCTAAATATTTTGTAAGTTTTGACTTCAGCAAAATTGAATAATATTTTTCCTCTTCTTAGCCCAATACCACTTTGCATCTTCATCATCAAGTGGAACAAATGAGTCTTTTGGAGGGAGTGAGAGTATCTGCAGTGATGTCTCTAATGTCTCTTGTGGGTGTCTTTCATCACCTATGTTAATGTGTCCTTGCTTATGTTTCCTTTTCTGGTTCCCTCTTGCAGGGTTGGAATCTGGCCACATCCCTGGTGCTGTGAACATACCCTTCCACTCATTCCTATCAGAAACAGGGCATGAGAAGAGTATTGAGGAGATCCAGGAAATATTCCGTGCAAAGAAAGTGGATCTCTCGAAGCCGCTGACGGCCACGTGCCGCAAGGGCGTCACGGCGTGTCAGATTGCCTTGGCAGCTTTCCTGTGCGGCAAGCGCGACGTGGCCGTGTACGACGGCTCCTGGTCCGAGTGGTTCCACCGAGCCCCACCACACTACAAAGTCTCCGAGTTGAAGCGCAGCAAGGCCTAGAGGGAAAGCTCTGCCTGGGGCAGCAAGGTCTGGCAGCTGTCTCCAGCTCAGGGTAAAGCAAAAGGGAGGAGGTGGAAGTAAAGAGAAAATCAGTTGATTCAGATTTTGCCAATTTTTTAAAGAATTATCATCAGGTTTCTATTGAACTTTTGATTTTTGACAGTTAATAAAATCTTAGATGATGCATCTGTGAGTATTTCTAATTCTCCTCTGTTACCTGCAACCTGCTTGTGTTGAGTGGGAAAAACAGCTCTGCTGCATGAGAGTTACAATCTGTGCCTGAAGACATGCAGAAATTCCAGTGGCCTGATGAATGATCAGGAGCAGAATGAATGCCGAGTCCAGTGCTAAAATACGGCACTGGGTACTGGACATGGGAGGGCCAAGCTGTGGTTCTGTCATTGATTCTATGGAAGACTTCTTTCCAGCCCACCATCTTCCCATTTGGAATGTGGAAAAAGGGAGTACCTTCCATATGGCAGCTGGGTCCAACCCACAGGGAGGTGTGTTGCTTCCCTGGGGTTCAGGTAAGGGACATTGAAAAGAAATGTATCAACTGGTATGGCCCAGTGATTATTATACTCTACTGGTGTTCCAGATAGGCAGCAACAATGTCCCAACAAGAAGGCTGAGGTCAGAAAGCTCATGTGAAACATTTGGAGATGCTAAAAGATCCATTTCTGCTGAAATACCATCTTGTTGATTATCATGACTGTGTTAGGAAAGCCTCCCAGAAATCCTGTATGTGTGATGAGAAGTTTTGGGCACAGGTATTTAATGAGACACGAGCCTTTTACTCTGCTCCTTGTGTGTTTTTCCAATCAGCAAGGATAACCCTTCTCCACGCTGTGTGAATTCCGTTTCCCATGGAGCTGGAGCCCACAGCTCATAGATGGAGGGAGCATTGTTCCCTAGCAACCATCTCTACTCTTCAGCCTTCATCCAGGACCTTGTACAAACCACCAGTCACCATACAGGGATCATGGACCAGGTGAGAGAGGTAGTTACAGAAGAGGTTTTGCCTCTTGGTAAATCACAGATATTGGCATTTTTTTATTTTTTATTTTTTTAAATAATTTAATAAATAAAGGAGAGAGAAATGTCATTTCCACATCTATGGGGCTCCTCAGGTTTGGAAAGTCACTGAAACCTCCTCACACTGTGGATACCCAGTCAAATGTGGAAGGCCTATGAGACCACTTTTGGCCACATCTGGTGGCTGGTGAGATTGGCCAGTTTTCCCACCTGTCTATGGAAGTTTTCTGCCTAGGGAGAACAGCTTCCTTTTTCCTCAAAGGCTGCATGTCAGGAAAAAGTATTAGGCTATGCTAAGCATCTTTCAGAAAGAAAGATCATGTTTAATCCTTTTTAGCTCCTTGATCAAGATCTTTTCTGACTGGCTGCCTATTGTCCCTCACAGAATTAGTTTAGCAAAGCAATAAGTAAACATGCTTCTGTGGTTCCTGTTATCCAGGAGGATGGTAAAATGGCCTTAAAGTCCTTCTTGCCTCAAGGTGTGGAATTCTCTAAGCAGTGCTTTGACTTCAGGGTCGGATATAAAATGGAAAACAACAATCACATGCAGTTGCAGTGTTTTTATAATAACAGTGACAAAATCATCATTGTTTGTTCTACAAACTAGAAAGTAGGAACAGTCACAGGCTTTGGTGTCATTTTTGTCCAGGAGGAACTGGGGAAATTATTGATGAAAGGGATTTGGGAAATGAGCACATTGCCTCATTACACAGAAATTCTGCTTTGTTGGAAGAAATGGGAGAGGAGGAATTTCTACATCAGCAGACTGGAAAGTTCTTCCTACTGAATATAGTAATAATAACAAACAGACATGGGTTTTTTTAAGTAGGAGGTGGGAGTTAGCACAGCAGTTTATTTAGCAGCAGCTTCCTGCGCTTTGATCATGTGTAAGTGTACGGCTCTTCTTTAAAAGTAAAGAAGAGTGAGAGGGAAAAGAAGCAGATCATTCCCTGTGAGTTTTTTTTTGTGGGAGAGGCTCTGCAGAGCATGCAGCACTGACTCCTGGAGTCTGGCTGATACAATAACTTCAGCTTCAGGATCCCAATACTGTGTAAGACTTGGTGCTGCAAAGATCTGTCACAGCGTAAAACCCAATCTGCTGCTGATTCAAGTCAACCCTGGTGGAGCACTGGGCTTCCTACCCCATGGGCTGGTGCCTTCATTCCCACAACTGCCTCAAGAGCAGAAGGTAAACCCTGTGTCATGTCCTGAGCTAATCTGATGAGTCCAAACGTGCATTCCTACCCCATCCAGATCCCAGTTGTCCTGCTGCTAGTGCCAGCAGGCTCACAGTCTTCCACCACTATGGGGCAGGGCTTTGGTTTTGTCACAGCCTTGCATGGGCTAAACCTACCAAGGTCCCCTGGGATGGGGACGTGACAGAGGGTTACACAGACATTTCCTCTGCAGGAAAAGCACTTCTCGTCCTAGCTGTCCCATGCAAATGCAATGCCTACAGAAGCTGCTAAGGGAGACTCAAGGACAGACCCAGGTCCCAGGGATTAGTCATAGCTCAAAGAACTGTGCAGGGGTGGAAATGCCAGGATTTCGCTGCACTTTGGGAGTGTGGATTGACAGCGTTTCCCTGTTTTTTGTATTCCCAGAAATGCCAAGCTCAGGACAATGCAGCATTAGAAACAGGACAGAAAGGACTCAACGACTGTACTGAAATGACAAAAAATTACTTGACCTGGGCATCTCTTTCAGATTACCAACAGCTGAGTTACAACTTCAACATAAATATCTTCCCAGGTGAGGGGACACACCACCTACCCCTGACCTTCAAAGCTGGTTCCATCTGTGCTTTGCCAGGGCCCAGGCAGCCACATTGCTCTGGGTAAAGATCTGACCATACATAATACTTTCCCCTCTTATTCCTTCTATCCAAGGTCACTGCTTTTCCAGGCTGTGATACCTAAGGAACTGGAATCTAGATACTCCCATTTTATGTATCTTATCCCTTTCTTTTCTTTCACTTTTTTTTTTCCCCACAGTGTGAAAAATAAATGTGAATCATAATCCTTGTTGTCCCATCCAGAGTTGTCCAAATGGACACCATTTGCAATTTAATGTTCCCTTTCATCTCCAGTTGCTAGTTACCTCCCGTTCCAGTGCCAACATAATTTCTCTTCCAGACTTTTAGACATGTGGAGCTCTGAAATATCTTTCCCAAACCTCTGTTTCCAAGGTTCTCCAGGATCCCTCCATCTTAGCGAAAAATGGAAACTGAGCATTCATCCAAGAAACTCTGAGATAGTTGTCCATGGTTCTTGTTTCTTGTGTACCAGCATAAGGCAGATTCATTTTCCTGATACAGTATGTTCCATGACAAGACTTTGCTGGGTATTGAGGACTGCATTGTCCTGGGTTTGTGTGGTTACACAGAAAAGAAGGATGTCTTTCCTCAGGGAGCTCAAAATCATTATTGTCAAGACAAATATGTGATTAAAAGGAAGGTGAAGAGATTAGAGAAACACCACCTCACACCCCGCCCCCCCTCCCCGCCATGGTTAGAAGTAAAGAGAGGATAAAAAGAGAAGTCACATTTGGCAACTCTTTCTTAAGGATTTTGGCAGAAAATGAGATCAAGAAGGCCTAGAGTAGTAAAATGGTTTTTGGGGTTTTGTGTAGTTGTGCTGCTAGTAGCAGCTAGGAAGCTACTCACGTGGATGAGGAGATTCAACAGTAGGGTAAGTGGGCACTTGGCTGAGGAAAGGGCACTGAGATACAAACAAAGATGCCTTGCAGCACCCTCTGTGTGTATCTCATACTTGAGAATGAAAAGCAGATTAATTGGGAAACACAAGTAACCTCCTGGGTGGTGATGCTGAAGCTATTGTTCAGTGCCCAGCCTCAGACCTGATCAAAGGTACTGCAGTCAGCACATACCTTTTCTTGAGCACTTGCAACTGCTGGCGTTGCTCCCCTCTTCAATTCCAGGACTGCAGTAGGGTGATTTCTACATACAATTCCTTATTTGCTGTTCCTTGCAGGTGGTCCACTGAAGAGCCAAAGCTTGATGAGAGATTCCTACACCCCTGATGTATTTCAGAAGGCAGTGATAGATCCCAGGCATTGGCATGGAAGGACAATTAATGAGCTAGGTATGACTTCTGACATGGAAAGTATATTGCTGAATTCCTGAGATGGGTGCTGCTTCTGCCAAGAACAAAGGATGGGTTTGAGCAGAGGCACAAGGGGACTAGAAACTGGCATTTTAATAAGAGAGAAGCTTTACAGCTAGAATAGTCCTTGGGGTATGATAGCAGTAGGAGGGAAGCTGTAACTGAACTATGATTTCCATTCTTTACAGGGAGATGGTATGAGAAATATTTCCTAGATCTTAACGTGCAGAAAGCAATAAAGGAGAAACATGGGAGGCGTAAAAAAAAAAAAGATTCCTAGAAGATGAAGGTTGAAGATTGGAATGCATTCAACAATGAGTCTTTTCCTTCTGCCATCTAATAAACCTGCCTGTGAAATCTGAACCCACTGCCTGCTAGCTGGCAACAACAGATTTGTTCCTGGTGCTTTCTCCCCTCTCTATTAAAGTGTCTCTGGGGAGAGCAGTGTGAAATAAGTCTGAATATGCAAACAAACAAAAAAAAATCACTGTTGCTCACTGATACCGTGGGAAGGATTAGTGTGTGAGGCCTGTACCCTTGGAGAAGGATGTGGAGAGGGCCCCACATGGAAATTCACCTGCTCAGCATGTAAGTTGGAGCAAGACCTGTGAGTGGTGTAAGAGGGCAGTGGTGGGTGTTTGTGAACAAATAATGTTTTCTGGAAGACTTATGACACTTTGACAGCTGCCCCAGCACTCCAGGGAGTACAGAAGATGCACTGGGAACCAACCAGGGTTGTCCCAGCAGCAGAAATGTGCAAAAGGAAATGAAAATTCACCTGAGAAGAGGAGGTATCAGGGTGTTTGTGAAAGCTCACGCTATTTACAGGCCAAGCTGGTGAAAATAAAACCAAAGAAACAACAGCTTATTCCATTTAAAGGAAACAGGAAAGCTGCAAGAAACCTCAGGACTCCTCCAATGCACAAATCAGGCCACACCATGCATGTACCCTTACTGAAGCTCTCATTAGCCCCACTTGCCCCTGACAGCCCTTTCCCTAGCTCAGAGGTGACTCTGAACATGCCTCCAGCATCCAGTCTGTACAACCTGGAGTTTGGGAGTGGGTCTGGGCAGTAAGTAAGGACCACCCAAGGCCTGAATGATGCAGGATTTGCAGGGTCTTTAGTGCTTCCTGATGTGTTTTTCTCACAAATTTAATGGTCTTTATTGCAGGACTGCCTTCCAGCTCCAAAGTGTAGCAATTTGGTGCAGCAATCACAAAGTAATTTCTGGGAATAGCGATGCCCTGTTCTTCCCTGTCTGGTCCTAAGCTCTCACCATTTTAGAAGATTGATGCTTTGCTCAATAATATGAACTGTTTTGGGACAGAATTAGGATCGTTACTTCACCATTGGCTGGTGATTAGATAACAGTATGCTGACTTTGTTAAAGTAGTGAAGGAGGTTAAAATTTAACTAATACGATAATCAAGTGATAATCATTTTCCACAACCAATAATTAACCGGATATTTCCAGGCAGATGTCCAAGTCTTTCAAATTAAGTAGACTGGCCAAATTGCAGCTTGTAGAAACCTCCCTATGGGTTTGCTTTGTACATCAGTACTGAGTGGCTGCTGTCTGAGCACACACCACTCTCGCCTCCCCTGAACAGCACAGCTCTGTAGGAACAGCCGGTTCTCTGTGTTGCATCCAGCACTGATGGCCAATATAACTCCAGGTACATAATGAGTCTTCTGAGACCACAGCAGGTCCTAATCCAGAAAACACGGAGCTGAACAGAAATCCACTGATGATGTTTGGCGTACTGGAAGCAGGCAGTTCAGGGCATAGTCAGCTAATAGGCAACACATAATGTGGGATGAATCCACAAATAGATGTACAAATTTGTTTCTACTAGACATTAAAAATGCTTATTAGCCATTAGAGATAGACGCTAGGGCAAGCAGGCAGACTGCAGGATTATGGTTCAGCTGGAAGCAAATGCCCTTTTGCTATTCATGAAGGGCTCATTAAGAGAGTAGATCAGAAGAGAAATGGACTGAAAGGTCCTGTTGGTGCACCACTGGGCACAAAATGGGGTGTTTGCCTCTTGCAGTGAAATGAAGTCACTGTGTAGACCTTTTACAAATGAAAATATTTTATAAGCACTTAAATAGAATAAAATACTTGGTGTTGTATAATGCACTCAAATGCGTGACAGCTGTTTGATGACAAATGAAGACACCTGTGTCAATTCCCCTTCATCTTCTTTGCTTTGCCAAATGGTACAGCTCAGCCAGGAACAAACACTTTCAGACAGGTGACACATGAAAGCTGCAAAGATAACTGAGATTATAGCTTTCAGTGAGGCAGCACAGCTGCTGGGGACAATCAATACCTGAAGTCTCTGAGTGCTGAACAGACTCATTTAGCCACAACCTTGGCAAGGAGCATTTTCCTGTGTGGCACTTTTTGTTGTAGAGTGCTTTGGCTATCCAAACACGTATATGGAAAGCCAGCCTTGGAATCTCCAGGTACCATGTCATATGCAGTTAGACAAGAACAGAGCTGAAATAAGTGCTCATGCTCCCTGCAGCTGAAATCTCCCTTCTATCCATTCTTTGACTCTCATTCATTCTTTTGTTCATTCCTTCTTGCTTGTTTTGTGCTGGTGTTGGCGCTTCCTTGCCCACACTCTGAACTGAGTCAAACTGATAAACCAGCAGAAAGTCAATACTGAAGGAAAAACAAAACCAAACCAAAGTTAACAGGTTAACCAATTAAAATTTCTAAGCAAAGGACCTTGTTGCAGATAAGGCAATGAGTGATGGGATATGCAGATGTCAGGAAAGAGGAGTAGAAGGAAAATGGAGGTGGAAATGGCCTTTCACTGCCTTTTTCATGCAGCAAGAAATTAGTTTGCCTCCACTGTATTGTCTCACAGAGCTCAGTGCTTTGCAACACAGGTATTTAAATGATTTTACAGGGTCTGATCATTGGGTGGCAGCTCTGAGCCAGCGTTTTTATCTGACAAGTCAGAAATTGGAAAAAAGTGTATTCTTCTCTGGTTTAGCTAAACCATTCACTGAAATTGCTATTTAAGAACTGTTTAGGTCACCTCCAAACAGTCGGTTCACTCGAAATATGATCACACCACAAGGATTTGAAGTAGGAGAAACCAGTTTCACCCCAGCTTCTGCAGCGCTCTCCTCACAACTTTTTCTAACAGTAATGGCTACTTCCCAGTTCAGGTTTATGCATCACTGCAGTTGAATCACAGGTCATTTTGCAGGATATCACGTTTAATAAATATTTCCTATTCTCCAAACAATATTGTGTTTTTCTTCTCATTTAACCCTCTGACCTCTGCCTATCTCATGCTATCCTGAATGATTCCAACCTTTGGTGTCTCCACTGTGAATGACTTTGAATGGCTTATATAAAGAGATGGTAACAACTGTAAGAACAGAAGACAGACACTGCAAAGACTCTTATTAGGATCTTCAGCCAACTATTCTATTCAATCCTTTGTGCTGTAAAGCTTGAACGGAAGTAAAACCTAAATTCAGAGCTACATCTATCCTGAGGTAAGCCCAGTATTCCTAAAAGAATGGAGTACTTACTGCTGATCCTGCCCATAATGGTATAAAAGAGAAATCCAGCACTGCTTGAAGTGGCAAGAGATCACAACAAAAAGAGAGCAGGTGAATTGACTTCAGTGCATTTCACTCTCAGGCACTGAGTTTAAAATACAATTCTGTCTTACATTTGAAGGCATTAAAGAAACTCTTATTCATCAAGGGAGAATGGTGATTTGAGGGTTAGGAATTACCTGTGGTGCTCCACTTGATAGTGGTAGAGCAAATGAGCCAAGGAGCAAGAAGGGTATAAAACAAAACCAAGACTCAAATGGTCTGTTCCTCAGGGTTCACTTTGTATTTTCCTTGCCACAGATTCCTCTCTGACAGAGCCAAGGATTGAAGCTGGAAAAGCAGTGACCCGGTGTCAGGGGTGGGATCACTGCACTTGGAAACAGTACACGAGGTTTAAGAACAACAACTCCTTACAGATGGAGAATAGGCTCTCTCAGATTTGGGCAAAACAGGGGTGAGAGCTACATTGAAAAATACACAAGAAGGTTCTATTGCTGATTTTAGAGAACAGGCCTAACAATTTTTTATGCTGAGTTGCCGTTTTATCCCTCTTAATAACATTCCTTTTCTTTTAAACCCTTGGATTCATTGCTTCTGAGCAGGAAAACTGATTATCCAAGCTCATTATGGGCCCAAGTGAAATAAGTTTCTTTTCCTATAACCCGAGAGCCTTGAACTGAAATTGATTAACTATTTTTAGAAAGAAGCTCTAGCTAAATCCGAGTTCCTCCCCTGCCAATCGCACCTATCAGGGGAGTGCAAAACAAGCCTATCTAAATGCAGGTGCCTAGGAATTATGGCCTGTCCCTTTTACCAAGTACATTAATATAACTAAGAAAGAGGTGGGGTTATTTGAGATCTTTCACTATGTTGGACTAGGAGCTGGAGAGGAGAGGCACCATTTTTGGAAAGAAAATGGGATAATAATGGTGTTATATTTCGAATTTTTAGTTTGGTTATCTAGCATACCTGCAACTCCAGCAGCATCTTCTGAATCTCAAGGCTGGCAACTTTCCTTTTCCAACAGTCTTCTTTAGGGTTCTGAAGACCCTTGTATTGTCTTCCTTGCCACTGCTGGGTGAAATAAAACACAGGACTTGGCTGCTACCAACAGCCCTCTAGCTGGCAGCTCTCTAAGGTGCCAACTGCATACAGACAGGAGATGACCTAATGGGGTACACTGTCTTCCAGGAAGCCAGAAGAAACCTCTGGCCACATTTCTTGTACCTTCCTCAGAAGCTGCAGGCCTCAGATTTTTCTGTGACATAGGAAGAGGTCAACTCTGCCAACTACAAGTGTCCCAGTTCCAAGATATGAAAGCACAATTCAGCTTTTGAGAAAAATCCATATTTCTCCCGTAAATAAAACAGGGACAGGGGCCATTCTCTGGCTGCATCTGCAAACTCGCTGGTCTCCTTGGTCTCCCACAGAGTTTCTTCAGTCTAAAACACAGATAAAGTTCTGTGTCTCTTTTATTCAACTCAAAGTGCACGACACACTGTGTTACAGCTGTACTCCGAGTGAAAAAGGACGTGCTTTGCACAGCCTGCATGCAGACCTGCTGGGATGCTGCTGAAGGACACTGGATACAGCCTCACCTGGTACAGTTGTGTCCAGGTTGCCCAGTGGGAATCGTTGCCACCCTGTGCTATCTCCCAAATGGTGCCAGGTTGTTATCTTGGAGAGCACTGGTTGGCACAGGCAAAACCGTGGCGGGGGGAGTGCTGACAACAAAACACTACAAGCAGTTGCAAGGCAGTGTGTGATACT